ATTTCTAATGTTGAATTGAATTTTGCCTTTTTTCATATTTCTTACAATGTTTGACCTATTGTCTTTTTTGAGGTACAGTTATGTTACCATTCAGAATGTATAAAAAAAATTTGTTGTCCCAAACTGTAAACTTCAAACATCTACACCTTACATGTTTTGCATTTTACCATTACCAAAATTTTACCATTTCATGTTTAAATGTTGAATTCTGCTTAAGCCGGTGCTAGGGGGCGTGGACGGTAAATTGCACTTTCCAGTACCGTCCATGAACAGGCTCAATCAAACCGAGCCTGCAACATTTTCAATTTTGTTGTGTTGGGCTTTCTTTAGGGATTCTGTATTTATCTATTTTTTGCATATGACATTTTGTGTTTTTATTAAAAAAAGTTATAAAAAGATTGTCCAGACGAAATTAATCCTGCTCTAGTGGTCATTTATTCTGTATTTATTCTACATAGTCTCATAGGAACACACTTGCAACATACATATTTTTAACAAAGCCTTAAGTTTCCAAAATATTAGGGCAAAATATTTCAATTTATATTGAAAATAATGAAATGATGGCTAAGATGAGTGATCTAGGGCCATCTTAGTGGCCCTACTGTTTATTATGAAGAAAAAAAGCTATAACAATCGGTGTTGTGAAAGTATATTAATAGAGGGGCAAGTTAAAGTTGAGTTGAACTTGCCAAATAAGCTGGATTTGCCTTTCAGCAACTTCTTTGAAAAATAATTTCAAACTTAAAAGCAGTTGCTTCTGGTAAGCGACTCAGGCCATCATGGCCCTCTTGTTTTATTTTTATTTATGATACATAGCCCCATCGGAAATGTGTCAATAACTCGGAAACCTTACTGTAAATTTTGTTTACAATCCTTTAAGGCATTTGACTGTTTAATGTTAAATTTCTTATGGCGCTCATTGAGGGTTTTGATGTTCATTTCGCATATTGCGTTATCCATGTAATAGAAAGAGCACCGAAACACGAGGCTATCTGATTTGTACGAGGGGGCGTAGCCCCCGAGTATTAATCAGATTGCCGAGTGTTTTGGTGTTCTTTCTCTTTTGTATCATAGTCCAACATAAAAACACGTTCCCTAATGTGACAAAATGAAACCCCGGCAAAAATGAACCAATGAACGAACATCTGAATATGATATTTCTGTCGCTTTCCCTTTCTCTGCCGTCACAATATGTAAACCCCAGCAAAAATGAGCCAATCAATGGGCATGCTCTGGAGTGCGGGTAACTAATACCCGCACTCCAGTTAACGCACGGTGCATGTATATGTATACGATTTAACCCCGACACAATTTCAACAGAAAGGTGTCCAAACTATGATACAAACAGAAGATGAAGCATATATTTGACCATGCACATAAAAAATTAAATGTACTACGTCGATGGACAAAGAGATTATGTAAAATTACTACTGGAAAGTGCAAGTTACCGCCCACGCCCCCTAGCACCGGCTTAAGCAGAATTCAACATTTAACACGAAAATGGTGAAATTTTGAATTTAGAAACATCTGCAGATGTGTGCATACGGCGGTTATCATGGAATCTTCAATGTGACACAGTAGTGCAATTCCATGAAAAGCGGAGTATGGTCCCCAAGTAAAAGAATGCTTTTGCCCTAAACGAGAAAACAACGGGCGGAACTAAATAAAATGGAATTTTGAAAGGAGATCTGAGGTTATGAAGCCTGCATATCACAGATAAGACGTCAAAAGACAAATTTAAAAAAGCAGGCAACATATCCTAAGGGTGATTATACAGTATTCAAGTAGGAATACTGGAACCGACCAAGTTGAAAATGGCCAAATAGAAGAAACTAAAAGTACCACATAACATGTAAACACAACAACAATGTCGTGCTGAACGATCAAAGGTTATTTTAAGGGTAGTGATGAGGTTTTTTTCCAGCGAACATTTTTATCTCGTGTATTGTTAAATGAAATATGATTGCTTTTTAAAACAACGTGTTTTAGGCTTTTTAATATTGGTGCCCCACTGGACACGGAATCATTTTATTACTAAATATAATTATGAATAACTTGAATAGAAACTATTATCATTTTCTTTGAATTCCTAATCAGTTACAAATTATTTATCATTTAATGATTAACCTGTCCGTGCTCTGTCTTTGCCCTGCCCTGTTTTTGTTTGGGGTCCGCCTGGGCTCCTTGCCATTGGTACTTGTTGCTGGGTCATATGGGAGTTGCGTTCATTGAACGCCGCCTTTCCTTGTTGATCTTGTTTATCATATTTTTTTATTGATATATGTGCTTGGATTGGCAAGTATACAATTTATTCTGACTTTTAATCCGTTTAAAGCTTCACGCACTAAAGTGTATGAGGAAGGAACCGAAAAAGAACGGAACGTGCTAAAATTTGCGTGGAAAACTGAATTGAATGTAAGCATAATTATCAAAAAAGTATCGTTGTGGTAGAAAAGGTAGGATCGTTGCCCTTTGTTCGAATCTCGCCAGGGTTTTCGAATTTTGTTATTTGACGAAACTACATAGCTAGCTAACGGAACATCGTTGATTCTACTCAGGTGCCCGTTCGTGCCTTAAATAACGCACGAAGGGGCACCGAGTTTCTTCCTTTACCATTAAAGCTGGAGCTCGTTTTTGTGTCGCCTTGAAAAGGTGACATATAGGGATTACTTTTGTCGGCGGCGTCTGTGTCGGCGTTGTCGTTGTCGGCGTCCCCTAAAGCTTGTCCGGAGCATAACTCAGTCACTATAAGTCTGATTGACTTCAAACTTGGTATGCATGCTTCTTTCAATAACCCAAAGTGCAGTGCACAAGGACCGGTACTCTGCAGTTCTTATTTTTTGAGTTATTGTCCTTTGTTAATTTTCATACTTTAATTTTGTCCGGGCCATTTCTCTTCAACTAAAAAAGCTATGGACTTGAAACTTCATAGGATGATAGATCTCATTAAGAAGAAGTGCAGTGCACAAGAACTGGTACTCTGCACTTCCTAATTTTTTAGTTATTGCCCTTTGTTAATTTTCATACTTTAATTTTGTCCGGGCCATTTCTCCTTAAGTATAAAAGCTATGGACTTGAAACTTCATAGGATGATAGGTCTCATTAAGAAGAAGTGCAGTGCACAAGAACAGGTACTCTGCATTTCTTAATTTTTGAGTTATGGCCCTTTGTTAATTTTCATACTTAATTTTTGTCCAGGCCATTTCTCCGAAAGTATAAAAGTTATGGACTTGAAACTTCATAGGATGAAAGATCTCATTAAGAAAAAGTGCAGAGCATAAGAACTGATACTCTGCATTTCTTATTTTTCGAGTTATTGCCCTTTGTTGATTTTCTTACTTTATTTTTGTCCTAGTCATTTCTCCTCAAGTATAAAAGCTATGGACTTGAAACATCATAGAATGATAGGTCTTATTGATAAGAAGTGCAGTGCACAGAAACTGCTGCTCTGCAGTTATTATTATCCCCCGCCGAAAAGGCGGCGGGGGATATAGAAATAGTCTCCGTCCGTCCTTCTGTCCGACATTTTTGTCCGGAGCATATCTATAAAAGTATTTGAGTAATCAACTTGAAACTTCATAGGTGGATAGACCTCATTGAGGAGGAGTGCAGTGCACAAGAATGATAACTCTACCCTGCATAATTTTTTAGTTATTGCCCTTTGTTATTTTTCAAAATAGATTTTTGTCCAGAGCATAACTCCAAAAGCCTATGAGATATCAACATGAAACTTCATAGGTGCATAGATCTCACTCAGGAGGTGTGCAGTGCACAAGAATAATAACTCTACCTTTCATAATTTTCGAGTTATTGCCCTTTGTTATTTTTCATACTTAATTTTTCACCCGAGTGGAGCATAACTCAAAAAGTGTTTGATATATCAACATGAAATGTCATAGGTGGATATATCTTATTGAGGAGGAATGTTGTGCACAAGAATGATAACTCCTAAACAATTTTTGAGTTATTGCCCTTTGTTCTTTTTCATGCTATTTTGTCCAGAGCTTATCTCAAAAAGTATTTGAGGTATCAACTTGAAACTTCATAGGTGGATGGATCTCATTGAGGAGGAGTGCAGTGCACAAGAATGATAACTCTACCCTGCATAATTTTTGAGTTATTGCCCTTTGTTATTTTTCAAAATTAATTTTTGTCCAGAGCATAACTCAAAAAGCCTTTGAGATATCAAAATGAAACTTCATAGGTGCATAGATCTCACTCAGGAGGTGTGCAGTGCACAAGAATGATAACTCTACCTTTTATAATTTTGAGTTCTTGCCCTTTGTTATTTTTCATACTTAATTTTTCAATTCAATATTTTTCTCAAAAAGTATTTGAGGTATCAACTTGAAACTTAATAGGTGGATAGATTTTACTGAGGAGGGATGCAGCACACAAGAATGATAACCTACCCTGCATTATTTTTCAGTTATTGCCCTTTGTTATTTTCAGCCATCAGTATTCACATAGGTTTCAAATCTGTAATCACTATAGCCATCAGTTTTCATTACCAAAAGACCTCTTAAAATGGAATAATTCTGCTGTACTACATATACACTCTTCCAATGAGCAAACACATTCGGCAGGGGGTGGCCATGTTGACATGGCTCTTGTTTTTTTAGTTATTGCCCTTTGTTATTTTTCATATTTCAATTTTGTCCTGGCCATTTCTCCTAAACTACATTGTTCACAAGGCGACACATCCGACTCGCGGAGTTCTAGTTTGAACTTTATTTTGTTTTTGCGATATAAACGCAACAAAAAATGGTCACTATAGTGATTATTATACATAATTTAGTGAGATTAAAGTGTATCGTATATTCATGATGAAATGAAAATTGCATTCCAACAGTTAAGTCCTTACGCCATGGCTTACAAACTGTACAAATGCAAACGTTATATAATTATGTATATAATTTTGTATATTTATATGGCAAGTTAGTATTTTAATAAATTCATATATATTTCATATTTTTTCAAACAGCTCAATCAACATAATAATGGCGACTGGTGGTGAACGTTTCTCAGATTCAGTCATACAGTCATCCGAAGTGACATCGTCAGATAAAGTATACAAATTTGCTTGTTCTCCTTGTAATGAAATCGGAAACAGTTCGGAAGCATTTTTCAAGTGTCTCAATTGTCAGAATTTCCTCTGTATTAAATGCTACGACGGGCACAACCAATTTGTTAAAAAGCATCACATTGTTAATGTCAACACGAAGGAGACAGGGTCGAGAATAATACAAATGAAAGGGCATACTTGTGAGGCACATCAGGAAAAGCTGATTGAAATGTACTGCAAGGACCATGATGAGGTTTTCTGCTCTGCTTGCACATTGAAACACAGGTGACAGTTATAGACCATCTTATATTATTCAAATATTTTATTTTTAAACAAACCATCCGAAATTTTTAAAGCTTAATGTTTTTCTTCAAACTGAAACAAGTATACAATATATTTGAACACATTACTTTCTGCCAATGCCATAATATTCCACACTTTTTGTGAACAAAAAAAAAAAACATTACCGGTTAAAATATTACAGGTCATGTGGAGGTGTAGACTACATTCCAGATATAGCTGGCAGTCTGCTTCAGGGGAAACTCAAGAATGAAGTTAAACAAGATTTAGAAAACATATCTACAGAACTTCTTAAGACAAAGTCAAGCTGCCAAAATATTTTGAGTAAAATGAACACTGACAAATATAAAACAATCAATGAAATGAAACAGTGTAAGGTAAGGTTGCTCAAAAGAATCGAAGAATGGGAACAATCGTCACTTTTAAATGTTGAAGAAAAATATCAGGGCATAAACACAAATGTCACTTCTGACCTGCAGAATATCAATCACATGTTGCATGACGTCGAGAAACAGCTGTCAAAAATGAGAGAAGGGAAGTATGACGACGATATCGATGAAGTTGTTACGTTAAAAGTTTCGGAACGTCAAGTGAAGGCGGTAAGGCCACGCATATCGGAATATGTGTGGAAACCTTTACAACACGTAGTCTTTCAGCCCAACTACTGGATCGAATATCAAAAAAATATTGGAGATTTATCTGGTAAGATGTTATGTTTTGCCGTTAAATTAGATATTTGGTAAACATAGGTTTTTTTTTTTTTTTTTTTTTTTATAATAATAATAATTATTATTATTATTATGTATAATTATTATTATTATTATTTCTGGAGAGCAGAGTGGTATGTGCATTCGATTGGTTTTATTTATTTTCCTTTTTCAAACACTTGTCTGTATCATCGGCCCCATACTTAGTCTAAAGACTTACTAATACAACTTGTATGAACTTGTGACAAGTGACAATTCTGTAGCAACTTCTTTCACTTATTTTTTTTTGTCAGTTAAGATCTTAAAATGGTCATTTTTTCTATCAAATTGAATATGTCTCCAGTTTTAATTTTACCAATGAATTTTAACAATACACACTTAGTTAACATCACAATGTTCGTAATATTGGCGAGTTTAATAAAGGTAGTATTCTTTCTGCTGCAATGAAACTCTTTCAAGCTGCGATTCTTTTAGTCCATTCACGAGCCCACTGGTGTCTGATTAGCAAGTATGGACACCTAAAATTTGCCTTCATCAGTAACGTTGGAAAGTTGACTTGTGACATTTTGAGTGTTACTGTAAATGAAAAACAAAAAAAAAAAAAAAAAAAAAAATAATTACAAATACATGAATTCTACATTTTTCTTAACAATATGAAAGCCGTGATCTTGGCAAACCATTTAATTGTGGTATTTCCCTTTACGATTTATGAAAGATATGTGTGCTTCACCTATATAAACATTTGAATTTTTTTTGGATGCTTAGTGCTTAATACTGTTCATCCCTATGTGAACATTTTTGAACTATATATGGTATCTTTGAAATTTCTAAAATTCTTCTTGTTCAAGTGGTGTTAATTATATCTATTTCTTTACAATAATCCTGTTAAGATACATAATTTCAGTATCTAATTCTTATATCATTAATATCAACACGGTGAATCATTTCTATCAAGTTAGTTTTTTTATTTAAACTTGTTTTACTATTAATGTATAATATATTAGCATACATTTGTTAATCATTACAAAGGAAATTATCATAAGCTAGCATTTTACATTTATTTCATCATTTAATGTTCAAACATCCAACACATTTTTGTGAAATCAGTTTGGATTCCTGTAAAATTTACAGAGAAGAACTGAATATAAAAGGGCTATCTATTGGTCATTTTAAACTAACTAACTGAAATCTGGGAATCTTATGAAATTTAAAGGATAGTTGTTAAATAAAATGTACAGGATGGTTAATGTCATAATAAAATAAACTGTAAACGATAGACATAAAATTAGCTGTACTGAATAGTTCTGTTGCATACAAGTTTAAGTTAATTGATATAAATTGCTAAGGTATTTAATTTTTGTTTAATTATATACCTCCTCCCACAAAGCATTTTACACTGCGTTTAGATCTCATCACATTTTCTCGCGACATTTTATTTTTACACAAAAACTAACTGAGATACATATTATTGATTCAAAGCACATAACATATAACAAAACTACATAAAAAGAAAACACCCCGAGATTGTTATGATCTATATGACATGGTCATTGTTGTTTTCAATTGATATAATGTTAACATTATAAATAAATATACATTTGGCATGTTAATCACGTGTGTATTGATGAAATTGCATACCAACTACGTACATGTTGAAGTTAGAAATTGAGTTTCCTTTACAGAACACGACATAATCATTTAGGAACACATAAATCTTAAATTGTTCCGTTTCTCAAAGATATATCATATCCAGGGATTAATTATACTAACAAAACGTTCTCGTTTAAAAACTTCCTTTTCGAATTTCATTTTGTATTGATTACACATTTATTGTCTAAGTTGCTCTTTTTAAATCTAAGTCAGTTTATTAGAAACTATGTAAAACTTAAGAGTAAAACAAAAAACAAAACTGTAACGAAATAAATGAGCACCAAAAATATTTTATTAGTAAGTAACGAAATTATTCAGTACAAAATCAATTGTTCTATTTGAAAGTGGAGCTACAATTCAGCCACGTTTTATATGAAATATTTATTTTGTGATTATTTTAATATAAATGCCAATATTACATATGATCACAAAATTTATAAAGTCAAACGTAAAAGCATGAAATGTAATATTTTGCTTCAATCTTATGTGTGCTCCAGGCCTTAGGGCTCACCATTTACTAACTGTGATATGTTGTACACAAACGCTGTGCAAAATAGTCCTAATGATTTGGTTATTTTCATAGGTTGTACCAGTTACGTAACGTATATATTAAAGCGCATATCTTAACGCAAACACATAATAAAGAATGTACAAGCTACTTCCCATAAGCAACTAAATTACAAAGACTGGCGCTGATATGATGTTCAATACAACGTACATCACATTGATTTTGATGACTTTATTCTGATAACTGATTACATACTAAAAGACAAAATCTGTTTTGATATAAAAGGATACTTTTTCCAGTATAAGTCTGCATGTATACAGAGTAAAATGCAAATAATCATACAGTATGTGTAGCCAATTTGCATCTAAGGCAATCCGAATCACATCATTTGATTTCATTTTTATTCATCAATAAAAAGAAAATGATACGTTCCTAATGTTTCCATTGACAAAATAATCAGTTAATACAAGTTTTTAAAAATCAGCACTTGTGAATAAGGAGGTATATATTTTGAGTTATCCAGAACTATTTGAATGACAAGTTGTTTAGATAATCTTTGTTTAAAATGATGGCTTTAATATTTTCAAATGACCTTTTCTCTAGTTACTGTTTAATGTTTGTCTTATGTTTTGAAGTAATCAACTTGATTTGTTTCATGTTGAATTCTAGTTTTTCTTTATTAGCATTTGATGTCAAGATTTAAAGGAAACTTTGGTAAGCAGTTTGATTATTCTGCAATGTTAAAAAAAGGAAAGAGTATGTCATATGTCGTATGAATGTAACAACCTAAAGCACTCCAAAAATATTGCAAAAATAACGTAATAAGGTGATTGCCTACACTGAATGTATAAACACGGTAGGGAATCACGTGACTTTTATGGTAACGCGTACAGACAATATGGCGGCCTAAACACCTCGCTTCGAACATGTTTTTCAGGTAATATTTTTTTATGATAATTATCCCTTTGACTTGCATACAGACCTGTTGCAGCCTACGCGGAATAAAAAATTGTTGTTGCCTATACCTTATTTTCCACCCCTGCACTTATTGATTTTACAAACACTCAACTATTCAACAGGAATTTTTTAATGTTGACAAGTATTTTGCGGGTAACATTCACGCAAAATATGTATTTTTGAGAAATTGATGACACAAGGTCGAGTAAGCAAGAGGTTAGAAGTTAATAAAATGTCTTTATTTGAAAATGTAAATATTAGGCATGTTGAATGTCGACTGGTCATTTTCTATTCAAGTCCACCATGGAAAAAATGATTTTGGTAAATGACACGGGTATTTTTATTTTTGATAACATTCACGCAAAATATGTATTTTTGAGAAATTGATGACACAAGGTCGAGTAAGCAAGAGGTTAGAAGTTAATAAAATGTCTTTATTTGAAAATGTAAATATTAGGCATGTTGAATGTTGACTGGTCATTTTCTATTCAAGTCCACCATGGAAAAAAATGATTTTGGTAAATGACACGGGTATTTTTATTTTTGATAACTCCCACGCAATATTTTATTTGTAAGCAATAGCTTTGCTGGTTTAAGCCTAGATATTTTTTAGGAAAGTCATGAATGATGCATTTATTATATAAGATAATTTGTACTAAAATTAAAAATACCTCCAAAAGGTCCTGGATAGAACAAAGCACCTTTAGGTAGCAAAATATATACTAAAGGAAGTTTCGATATAAATGTAGATGAATTAATCGCAGAAATTAAAACAAACTCTCAAATATAAGTAGTAGGAATTTTTTTCAAATTTAGCACAATTTCAGTTGTTTCTTTTTCATATTTTGCAATATACGGAATGTTACAGCTCGCATATTATTTGTAACAAATGTGGGACACGGACAGGTCTTAATGACCACAAAAACAGGCTACTTGGCACAGGACTTAAAATTATATATGTTTTGGTTAAACATTTTACAGCCAAGCAGTTCGGAAGCGTCACCAGAATGGTGTTTTACTGTTAATATTAACTTAAGATTAAAAAGACATTCAAATCATTTATCACATAGTTTGTATACTAAAATACCCATTCTTACATCTCTATTTATTGTTATTTTTTATTTGCTTTAGATATAGAAAGCACATATTGTTTTGAGACATTGCGTTGAATACGAATATGATACACACAGTACCGTGGCGCCTAATATTTGCGAAATCCTATTTCAGGTCTGTCAAATACGGATAGAATGGTAGGATACTACGTCACCATTCACCTGCAAAATGCCCCCAACCGGACTGTTTTGTATTGTTTTGTTTTTTTGTCGACTCAAAGATGAATATTTTTTTATTCTAAGAAATCGTTAGAATTTTAAAACAAATAATGTAGTGCACCAAAGATTGGCTTGATATAATGAAAAAAACAAACGTTTAAAAACTTACTGTCTGATTTAAGCTTGAAAAAGGGATACATTTTGTTTGGGAGTCCAACATGGATCATTTAGATGACTAAACTAGACAGTAAAACTTTAAACCTTTTAAAAAATTATATCAAGTACTCATGTCAATCTTTGGTGCGCTACATTATCTATTGATATTGTAACGAGTTAACGGGATGTTTGCATCCGATTGCGAGCATTTTAAAGGAGCGCGATGACGTAGAATCCTACCGTTGGGATATAATACATATTGATTTGGTGTCGGCCCACTAAAATTTCGTACCCTTTGCTCTATAGGAAATAGGCCAATCGCAACTTTTCGACCCTTTTCGTCAGTCTTCGGACATAATTGTATGAATTATTATACAGAGAAGGGATACGGTATTTCGGTCTAACCTACGCTAAGAAACTAAACATGTAAACAAATAATAATTTAATGCTGTGGGTTGTTGACAAGTTTATTTCCAATATATCAAGTAAAAGTC